AGGAGGACTACACACACGAGTCGTAGAAGTGTAACCTGCTAAAAAGCATCAATTGCTTTGGAGAACACTTGCACAAGTGTTCAGACGGTCAGTCTCCCACTCCTAACAGCTTCCTGCACACACCCACATGTCCATGCATGCCACGATTTTATTGCACTATATGTAATGCGTGCATATTATATATAAGCATGTAGGTTATATGTTAGCATGGACTACATTCCAGCAAAGACTAGAAACAACCACAGTGCCTTCTTAGCAGCTGACTGGCTAAATACATAGAGCCCCGCCTGTGGAAGACTATGCAGACGTAAAAGGAAGAGGCATTCTCTATGCACTGACATGCATTCCTCTGGTTCATAAGTGAAGAAAGTAAAGAATAATGTACGCAGTGTGCCACCGTTTCTAAAAAGAAAACACAAATGCAAATAAAATGTTTTGGCACAGGCATCTAAGAAAGTGGTAACCATAGTGACTTCCAAAGAGGGGACTGGGGAGGGCTGGGGATTTAGCTCAGTGGCACGGATGCCTGCTTGGCAAGCGTGAGGTCGTGAGTTCAATCCCTGGTACGAAAGAAAAAAGGAATGGGCAGAGTCAGCCAGCGAGGCTCCTGTCGCCGAGTGGATCTGAACCACATACGTGCATTATCTGCTATGGTAAAGTTTTGTTTTTAGGAAAACTTTTAAAAAGAGACACACACAAAGATGTCCGCTGTTGTATTACAAACACCAGACAAAGCAATCTAATGGCATCAGGCCAGTATTAGGAAAAGACTTCAAGACATTTTAGTAAATCCACAGATTATCAAACACTGAAAACATCTCTGAGAATGTGAACAAATGCTTTTGATGTGGGGTAGATTCGCAGCAGATTCCATTAAATTTTGATTGAAAATATAAAAATATATGCATGTGTACAGATATCTCAAAAGCGAAAATTAGTTATTAGGTTAGGATAATAGAATTGTGGGCCATTTTTAAAAAAATATTACCATTGCAATGATAGTAATTATTTCTAGTCTTAATTAAATCGTACTGAAGTCACTTTAAATAACTGCTAGAAAAAAAGGATACAAATTACCTCGCAGCATATTAAACAACTGTCAGGATAAAGGTCAGAAATCTTAGCAACCTTACAAGAATAGAAGAAAAACCAGAAGAATGGCAATGAAAAAACAATCTAAACTTCTAATGCAGAAACGGGCCTTGGGTAGGTTAGTAGGCACCAATTACAGGCAATTAGTCAAGAAACCAGTGAGCATCAGAAACTCACAAGGATGCACACTGAACCCTACAGAACAAACTATGCAAATCGTTAAGAGCAACATATTTAAAGTGATGGAATTGCTTTCAAACTTTTCAAAAAGTGAAGCTCTCAGAACTGTGTGAGATTGGGGATCTTCGGTGGAGTGGGAGGAAGAAGCCAAGTGATGGGGGACCCCAGACTCTCCAGCCCTCAGATCCCCAAAACCTCCTTTCTGTGTGATGCGATTCTGCATGGAGGATTCGATGACACCTTCCCAGTTGGAAAGATGACACAGAGGGCCCAGTGAGAGTCCTAAGGAAGCGGAAGGTCTGGCTCCTGCACTGAGCACCGGCCGGTTCAGTGTGTGTCTGCCGTGATCCGGCCCTGTGCTGAGACTGACACTGGGTTATGGCGTTTAATCACAGAAAGTTATTACAAAATGTCTCAAGCGCTATACAAGGCTGCACCAAAAAAGGGGGTAACATTGTTACTATTACTTTGAGGGTATCATACATCTCATTGTGCAAATTCTGGTACAGATAACAAAAATCAAACAGCAAGAGGGAGAGAAATAAAAATTAAAAAGATTCCAACAAAGAGAGACCTACTTATCCCAAAACGACAAAGATAAAGCCCAAGTCAAGGGCATACCCATGCACCCAGGCAGAGAAACCTGTACTTCAGGTTCCTTATGACAAGATGCAGGGGCCTTGGCGACCCTGCCCTTGACAATGCCAGAAGCATGGAGCATCTACAGAAAGCCCTGTAGCATCGACGGCAGGTTCTGGTAGGGGAGGCAAGGTGTATGTCCATGCATCCATCCCAGGAATCAAACCCAGGACCTCGTGCTTGCCAGGCAGGCGCTGTGCCTCTGAGCTCTGTCCCCAGCCCTGGCTCATGTCCTGAAGCTGCGCTTAAGAGATTCAGGCAGCCCGGGGATCGGCCCGGCTTCCTTCGTCACGCAGTGAGTGGCTGAAGTTTGTGGATAGTTTTCAGTCAGGAGAAAAACTATGAAGAACACAATCTGAAGAAAAAAACCTATGGCCCTGAGGAGCGAGCGCTATACATAGGTGGGAGAGAGCTGGGGTCTTATTCACCACAAACGCACGACTTTCTGCAAGGAAGAACCCAGGAGTGGGAAGGCTTCCCACGGTGGAAGGGCCCAGGCCAAGGGCTCAGCGCAGTGACCCAGGAGGAGACAGAGAGCCCTTCTCTGTGGCAGCCAGGGCTTCCCACTGGCCTGGCGGTTTCAGATGTGTGGGTGCTGCGGAGAGCTAAGGAGCCTGCGGGCGGGACCTTCCATCTCCCCAACCCACCTAACACCTAGGGGCAGATAAGGACATACCGCAGCCTGCAGCCTACCCTGTGTCCTGTCCACGGGCTGACAGATCTGTGCCGAGTCATATGGGCACAGCCCACAGCTCATTCATGAGGGACAACAGCATGGTACAGAGTGGACGAGGGGACAAACAAAACTTCTCTGACCCCGAACTGCCATCCAGCAACGGAGGCAAAACCTTCCCCCACTTCTGCTTCCTTCTGCCAACAAGGCTGCCAGGCACCCAAGCCCAGAACTCGAGCATCCATCCTTCCTGCATCTGTGTGCCCGACACAGTATCCCGTGCACACCACCGGCAGTGGAAAAAGTGCCAAAATGTGCTTGAAAAGCTCTTTAAAGCATTTTCCCAAGAACTGATATAAGGACAGACCTTTATTTAGATCCATATTTGTCCGAGGAAATCAATACGACCTTTAGAGTCTTCACGAGCAAACACACCCCTCAATTACCTTTCCAGGCCTGCGCCCCATGCAGGCCAGCCCCTACTTGCTGTCAAACAACCCCAGAGCCACCCCACACACACATCGGCGCTGCCTGGGACCCTCCTAGGCGTTTTAAAACGCGCCCAGCTTTCCAACACAGTCTGTTTTCAAGAACTATTTTTGCTCTCCTTTCCCACAATGCCTGGCAGAGGATGAGGAGGTGTTTCCCGGGGCCCCCAGCGGAGGTGACACACTCCCCCCACCTCCTCACTTCCCAATGGCTCCTGGGGTGACCCCAGGACAAAAGCACTCTCTACACACTCCTTTGATCCATTCTTCTCTCTCTCTGCTCCAGAAAGGTGCTTAAAATCCTTGGAAATGTTGCCAGATCCTGAGTCTGATGGATACACACTGGCATGTAGGCATTGTTCAGAATTTGTCTATGCTGCTAAGCAAAAGAAAGGAAGGAAGGAAGGAAGGAAGGAAGGAATAGAGAGAGAGAGAGAAAGAGAAAGAAAGAAAGAAAGAAAGAAAGAAAGAAAAAGAAAGATTCCTGCTCCTCACAAATGGGACTCGGTCAGGGGAGCACCTTGGGAAAGGTGAGCCCGTGGGGGTGAGGAGGACCCAGCGGGAAAGGTGTCTCCCGTGACCCAGCAGAGCAGCCAGGCGGGGGCAGGGGGTCCCCACAGGGCGACGCAGCGCAGCCGGCCAGGTTGGTAGTAGCGCAGCCGGCCAGGTTGGTACCAGACTGAGACAATGGCGGTGATGATGTAACAGTTTCGTCTTACACATCCATGAGCCACAACTGTTTACTAACACGCTGGGGGAGGGGCGCTGCCGGCACCCTGCCGGTGATCAGATTCCATTCCCACGCGCAGACAAAGCACTGACAGGGGCCCAGAACAGCCCAGGGGTCCGAGTGGGGGATGGCTACACATTCTTCTGCATTGTTTAAACCAAAGCGCTAAAGTGGTTCACAAATCACTGGAGGAGTTGGCATCGCCCCTTCCTGGGCACTGCAGACCCCGAGAACAGCGATTTTGCAGCTCCGCCTTGTGTGCTCTGAGGCCCACACTCCTGTCTCACCAACCTCGGGCTGCAGCCAGTACGGATGTGAGAGCTCTCACAGGGAGCCACCTGGGCTCAGAGGGCACCGTGGACTCCGGGGGACAGCTCGAGGCCGGGGCTCAGCCTCAGGCCAAAGCTGCCGCCCTGCAGAAACAGCTGTGGCCTGGACAGTCCCCCTGTCCTTCCTACACCCTGGCATGCTTACTGAAGTCCTGAGGACACACTAGTGGGAAGGGGCCACTGGGAAGGTGAAGTCAGCGCTCAGGCTCTCTGGAGAGGACTAAACCTGGTGGGCTGGGAGGGGTGCAAGGGAATCTTTAAGAGCCCTTTGCCCTCTGACTGTAACTTCTGTTCTGTAGTGGGCACCTCTCAGACCAAACCCAGTGTGGGATAGCTGAGGTTTGTCAGGAAGGGGAAAGTGTGAGCATAGGGTGTTGTTTGTCATGGACAGATATTTCTTTGTAGGATCCGCGGGGACAGCTAGCCAGGGAGAACACAGCCAGGATCCTGGCTCCCGCCGGGCAGACCTTGAGTGAGTCCGCCAGGGTCAGCTGGTGAGGGGCCAGGGCCTCACCTTCCGGGGGGACCTGCCCTGCCTGCGTGGGGTGACACTAGAGGGCTGGGGGAGGGGCGCGCTTTCCGGAACACTCTGGGACAGGAGTTGTAGATTAGGACAGCTAAAGTGCCCCCTGGGAGGCAGGATGCAGTGTCAGGGCTCCAGCCCAAGTGACCCGTCTGACTGTGGGACAGGAGGGGATGGAATCAATGCGGGATTGGACGCACGTACACACAGACTAGTGCCACTCTGGGGACTCCGGGTCCCCCTCTGGCTCTGCCTGGAACCTCGGTTTTCAGGAGAGGGCAGGAGGGAGAGGAGAGGTGACGGTGGGGGCACAGGGCAGAAGGACAAGGGTGCTCGCTGCCCTCACCTTGCTGACCACGTTCTGGACGAGGCCGGTGCGGATGCCGTAGTCCCACGCGTGACAGTCGCAGTTGGAGGCGTTGTCCCCCTTGTCCGGAGGGGAGGAGAGGGGCGGCGTGTCGCCTCCGTCCACGCCGCTGCTGTTGCTTCCGTTGCCCGTGGCCCCCCAGACTGCAGTGGAGAAGGGAGTGGGCGGGGGGCTGGTCCAGTTGCCCAGGTCGCCCCACCGGCCGGTCACGGTGGCCCCCGCCAGCTCCGAGCCTTTGCCGGCCCCGCGGCACCAGAAGTTGGGCTGGTCCAGGAGGAAGGAGTCTGAGAACTGGCTGAAGCCGATGAACAGCGCGGGGATCCAGGTGAGCAGCACGAGGGTCCGCTGGTAGCTCCCGCCCAGACCCCCGAGGAAGGGCAGCACCGACCCGTCGTAGTCCAGCAACAGGAGGCTCGGGGCGGCCGCGGGCGCGCAGCAGCCCGAGTGCACGCCGCCAGCGCCGGGAGGCAGCGGAGGCAGCGGCTGGATCTCCGCGCGCCCCCCGAGGGGCGCCGAGGCGGCCGCGTCCCCGGGCGGCAGGGAGCCGTTCTCCTCGGCCGCGGGCGGCTGCCGCCCGGGCCCTCCGCCCGCCGCCTCGCGCCGCCGCTCGATGGCCATGGCCCGCGGCGCGCAGGGCGCACGGAGCGCCCCCGACTCGCAGCCTCGCCGCCCGCGCCCCGGTCAGGCGGCCCCCATGGCACCGCGGGGCCCGCGCCGGGCGCCGGGCACAGGCCGGGCCTCAGCCGCCGCCGCTCATGGGCTCCGCAGCCCGGCGCCCGGGCCGAGCCCGCCGCTCCCCGCCGCCGCGCGCCGGGACCGGGAGGAGGAGGTGGAGGAGGAGCCGGCGCCGCGCGCCACCGCGTCCTCGCCGGCGGCCCTGCGGGTGGCAGCGCGCTCCCCGGCGCCGGGATGTGACCGCCAGACTTCGGGCGCCTCCCGGAAGCCGCGATCTGGGGACTCAGCCGCGGAGCCGCCGCGCTGCCCGGCTCGCGAGCAGCCGGCCTTCTCCTGCCGCCGCCGCTGCCGCTGCTGCTGCTCCCGGCCTTCTCCGCCTCCTCCTCCCCGGCCTCCTCCGCCTCCTCCTCCCCGCGCCCGGCCCGCCCTCTCCCCCCGCCGAGGTGGAGGTAACCGCGGCACCTGCTGCGCCCCGCTCGTAAGCGCGAGCGCCCCCTCCAGCCGGGACGCGCCGCTGTCGCCGCCGCCGCAGCCGCCGCAGCCACCCGGGCTCCGCGGGAGGGGGCGGGGAAACCGGGCACCCGGACCTCGGGACGCGCGGGTGCAGTTCGTGCCGGGCCGGCGGAGGAGGACGAGGTGGAGAAGGCGCGGAGCCGGGGCGCTAGTCGGTGGGGTCCTCGCACGCGCCGGGAGCGCGCAGACCAGGTCGCCTCCGGGCTCAGCCGCCACCCCGCGGGGGCTCTGTGATCTCTGCTCGCCCCAGGGGTGCCCGGCTGCTCCGATCTGCTCCGTGCACCCCTCTCCAAGTCCCAAGCCGCAGGGGCTCGGCCTTCCTACACAGCCTACTCCGCGCTCAGATAAGGTTTCATTTTATGTCCAGGAGCGGGGACAGGGAGGCGCATTTACCAATGTCAGGTTGCGGGTCCCCTGCAACGTCCGGTCACCCGCTGCCGCCCAAGCGCCCGCTCTGCATTCGCCATGTCTTCCCCCTGCTCCCCAACGAGCTGCAGAAGCGCAGCGCTAGAAGGCCCTGTCGCCGACCGCAGTTCCATCTGCGCGCTATTCGCGTGAATGGGCATCGCCTCCCCCACCCCGATCGCGAATCCACATTTCCAGTGCTTGTGCACAGGCGCACAAGTCTAAGCTCTCCAAAGACAAACCGCTCCCTCTCGCCCCTGCTGGGGCGCCAACCTTGCCCAGCCGGCGCTGTATAAATAACACCAGCCCTGCGGCAGACGCTGGATTCGCTAATTTCCTCTTGCTCACAGAGCCCACAGCGGTGAGAAACGCGGCACCTTTCACCCTAGCTTCCCCATATGTTTAGACAGTTCATATTCTGAGAAGTTTATTATTGGAAGTCTTAAATGGAGCAATGCATTTCCAGGCTTATTTGGGGCAAAAAAAAAAAAAAAGAAAGAAATGCTTTTGCTTTCCAAAAGAACACACTGTAGGCCGCATGTACTGAAAGTGTGCTTTTGCATATTTGACCATTCGCCCGGGTACCTGCTGGATGATCCAGTAAGAGCAAACTAACCTGCAGTCAGTTTGATGGTGTATGCTAATACTGGCAATGAGGAGAGATCTGTGCTGGAGACTGCCAGGGCCCCGGGCCTGGGGCACCGCAGGCCAGAACTTTCCTCAGAGGTCTGGAAGGGGAGAGGAGATAACAGGCTGACGGGGCCAGGGCTGCTGCAGGCTCCAGACCTCCGAGAAATGAGTCTCAAAACCTCCTATATTTAAAAAGCTGTCGGGAGCAATGTTGCACACTGCTATGTGGTGATGAGTTTTTTCTTCCAACTTGACGTTATTTGTTAGCTTTAGTTTTGATTTCCTTCCTTCCTTCTCATGGGAAGAGCTGATACACGCACAGCACAGAGCACTGTGTTCAGTGAATTGCTAGCTGTTTATTACGTGAGGTGTGATGGAAAACCACAGTGAATATTTAAACATTGTACTGCAGAAGACACGCCGAAGCCCCCTCAGCATCCCTGCTTGCTTTCAAGGTGCTTGCCCCCCTCTTCTTGCAGCTTTCTGGAGCAGCTCTGGAAGCCCTCCTTCCGGAGGGTCTTTCCTGGTGCTACCTGGCTGTCTCCCTGTCCTGAATCCATTCACTGGCTCCCTACACAAGTCATTTTGGCTTTGGAGAGGAGCCGGAAGTCACATGGTGCTATGTTGGGTGAATAAGGTGGACAAGGACTCAGTGTCCGGTTTTTATGAGCCCGCCTTTCTGTTGGGTGACACAGGACAGCCACATTTACCCTATTTTTATCACACTATTTTTGGTCACACTAACTGTCATTTTTCTGCAACTGTTCGGTACCCTCTGCCTTTCTCTAAATGTAAACATAACGTTACTGATTTTATTTCTCCTTCAGCGCTGCTTTCTCCTGAAAGAGGACTTCTCTGTAGTTCACTCTGCCCCTTGTTGGCGTGTTTATAGTTCTCTGCAAAGCAAGCACAGCCCCTGATCTTAGCCGTGGCCGTTCCAATTGGAACATTAGTCATAGCACGCTTTTCAGGGATGGCTTTCCCATCGCCCTGACACTGCAGCCCCAAAATGAAGTGGGGAGGGGTCACCACTCAGCTGTCAGAGCAGAGTGCTGCCCCCAGTGGGTGTGAAGCCAGTACTGGGATTTGACATTACAGGTTCTTCCTTCTCACCCATGGGAAATCATTTAAGAAGACTTTCACTTAAAAGAAGAAAGAATGTGACATGTATATTAATTTCCTTGACTGTAGTAATTAGTTCATTGTGTATGTCTAGCCATCCTGCAAACCTTAAATATATACAATACAAATGAATTAATAGCTTTATAATGAAAATGAAGCTTTATAGGAAAATGAAACAAAGTAAGTTCTGTTTGCCCTTCTGGAGGGGGTATTTGTTCTTTTTTTTTTTTTTTTTTAATTGGTCCCGGGGATCAAACTCATGACCACCTGCTTGCAAGGCAGGTGCTTATGCAGCTGAGCTAAATCCCCAGCCCCTAAAAGGGAGTATTTGTTAATGTGCATTTTGGGGTGGGAGAACCCCTAACCCTGAAGGAAGAGCTTCAATTTGAAGCCAGCATCCTTGTTTAAAAGGTTATAAAGATCCTCAGGGCATCCATGCCCAGGATCTGGATGCGCACTGGAAAATGGTACTCTCCAAAATTTAAGTGGAAAGGAATCATCTTAGGATGCTTGGAGTTAATTCACCGTCAGCTACACTGACCAGGCATTGTAATTAAGTTGTTGATTAGATTAGAGGTTTCCCTGAATCCCTCCAGGGTCCACATGCCCCCAAATGTAGTCGAGAAGATTAAAATGTAACTAATTTAGACAAATGGGCCTTCTGTTTATTAAAACAGGCCACGAGTGACCTCACAGTGCACCTAGAACAAAAGGCGCTAAGAAAGAGAGGCTGATGCTGGGACAGGTGGTGCTGGCGGGCCCCCAGGCCTGTCTAATTTTCTGCACAGGTGGCTTCTGATTTACTTGACTGACTTATTCCTCCCACTTCTAGAATGCAAGCACTGGCGGGCTCGGTCCTTAGCTTTATTCCTGGTAGCCCAGATAGTACCTGTCACTTGTGAGATTCTTAATGCCTGTTTGTTGAATAAATGACTGTGCCCGATTATTATCACTTGATGATGCTATTGGGCAAGATCATAGGGCTGGGTTTACTTTGATTCTTAAGTCGCTAAGCAAGCTTTTCATATTTGTTCAGAGTCACAGTGTGCAGATCAGTCAGCGTGAGAATTCTAGTGAAACTGGTGATTATATATTTCTCTTTCTTCTCCTTTTGTTTCTCTCTCTCTCTTTCTGGCGATACTGGGGATTAAGTCCACAGCTTTTACACTGAGTTACACCCCCTGGCTTACAGATTTTATTGAAAGAGAGCCTCTCTAAATTGCTGCTTCCCAGGCTTGGCTCCAACTTGTGGTCCTCCTGCCTCAGCCTCCCAGAGTATCGTATAAAAGCTATACACCCCCACACAAGGTGGCAGTTACGTTTCTTATTGTAAGTTCTTGGGATTAATGGGTTCTTTCCTGGGGTGAAGCTCTTGCAGGCCTGCAGATGGTAGCTTTCAGACCAAATGCAGCTCACTGACCGTGTGCAAGGGTTCCAGAAAAATCATTGCCGACATTTCAAAATTGAGTAATTGAATTTTTTAAAAACGTGTTTGAGGGCTCTCCTGACACAGTAGAAGCCCAGGCCCTTTTGATGTCCTGTGTTCTGCAGCTTCCTCGGGCAGTGTAAGGGGGTAGGTGTTCTCCAGCCTTTTGGCATCCCCATTTGGCTCCAGAAGGATCTGCACTTGTGACCCTAAGTTTATATTAGTGTGTCCAGTGCCCTGATCTTCACAAAGAAGCTGAGTCATTCTCTTTTCCTTTGAAAGCCTGGTAAATAATCCACTAAAGTACGATTCCCTAAAAACTGAGAAAACAGAGCAGATAAGTGAAAGATACAATACACACTCACCAGCACACTTGAGTAATTTTATTCTGATGATAGCAAGGGAACAAAAGGGTTTTTTGACTTCTAAGATTGATGGGGCTCTAATTTTAAATGTCTGCACAACTCTGTAAGAGTTAATTCCAGGGAACTGGTGTCAAGGTTAATTAACTTTAAATGTACAATACTCCTCATATGAAGTGGATTCCACGCGGGTTTTATTTGAATTACAGATGGATAGGTCACATACTGGAATGTCATGCGTCTTTCTTTTTTGCTTATGGCAGTTTGATTTCCACTTTTCAAATAATTACCTGAGAAGTGATGATTTTCATCTTGGAAGCGGGCACTATGATGAAGTAACTCCAATTCTAGCTGTGTAAACAGCCCCTCGTATTACCTGTGTTATCTGTAGGCTTCTGAAATGTCAATTCTGACTCTTTAATAAGGAACTTGACATTTACAAAACCTATCATAAATGAAAATGAAAAGGCTACTTTCATTCATTGGTGTAAGTAATAAAAATGTCACATAATCTATCCTGAGGAAAGTCACAGTGGTGTCCTGAGAAAAACTATGTACTCTTCCAGGACTCGCCAGATTCTTCCTTCCCCATCCGAAGGCTGCATGACAGTAAATTAGTGAGG